GAATAAAACAAAATTGGCGCAGTCGGTAGGTACTCAAACTGACTGCTGCGGCAGACTCGTACGGACAAACTGTAAATTACAATTGTAAAAGTCAAAATTTTCAATTATATAAAGTGCAGTTTGTTAGAATTTGTCCGATTTTTGTCATTGGTCAACTGTTTTCATATCAATGGTCAACTGAGTATAAGATGGAAAAGCGCTGCTTTAGTGTTGAATTTTCAATTAGCTGATTTACTAATAATTCATTAAAATAAAACATGTGATTAATGTACAATCCCAAAAACGCAATTTCCACTCAACCCCAGAAACAATTAGTCAACTTTAATTCAATGAAACTAATTTCTCCAATCCCAATCCAAATGCAGATCTCACGAAGTACAGGATTCGTAGAATATCGTTATTTGCGTTCCGAAGAACAGAATCCCGAATATTATGAAACATGAAAACCGACAACAAAAATTTAAACTTTAATAACTCAGAATATTCCCCCAAACCAAACGATCAAGTTTTTCAGATCAACTTTTTAGTCCATTTGAAAACAAGGAGGTTTTTCAAATAACTGCCTGGAAAAAAACAATCAGATTGATGATCTTACGATATTAAATATGAACATCAAAAAAACTGATATCAAAATGGACATTTTATAAAACTGTTGTTACAAAAGTTTTATATATTTAGTAATAATAATTTTTTTACAGCAATATAAATTATTGACGCGAATTGGAACATTTTGAAGCAAAACAGCATCTCACATGTCAAAATGCTGTAATTCGGTTCAATAATTTATATTACTGTTAAGAATTTCGCCAATCTACTAAATTGTATATAAAACTTTTACAACAATAAATTTATAAAATGTCCATTTCAATAGTTGTTATATAGCAGATTTTTTAATATGCACGATATAACACTGATATGTTGCAGCAAACCAATCCTCAAACCAGTAACAAAGGAGAATGGATTGAAAAAACAATAATAAAAAAATATATATTAATTTTGGAGAACGTTGTGGGCTATATTTCATTTGAAAATGTCAGAAAAACTTTCCTTTAAATTTACAATTGCAAAACATTCAAACATTCAAGGAAAAATGTTGAACGAAAAAGACTAAGACCTAAAATCATAAAAAAACTTAATATTTTCATATAAAAAAATTCCAAGCCGAAGAAAAGTAATAAATAATTTTAATTAACAAATATCATTAATGGTTTCAGTGTGGAAAAAATTTTCTAACGTATAACAAAGAAGAAAAGATTTAAAAAACCACAGTAAATAATGAAAATTATTCGGAATTTTGAAAAACAGTTTCCGCGAATTCCGAAAGCTGTCTAATCGAGTTCAGTCTCAAACAGCCAAAAAAAGCATTAAAAAACAAAATAGAAACAATGTTACGGAATACTTTCTGCGGTCCTTTCAATAGGAAAAGGTGAAAAAACTTTTATTTGAATAGTTGAATGAAAACAAATTGAAAAGTTGAAAGAAAGCGGCTTAAGAAAAGCTAATGATTCAATATTGAAATATATAAAATGAAAACAAATTTACAGAATATTGTCTGCGTAATGGTAAATTTGAAAATGTGAAGAAAAACTTTATTGGAATAGTTTAATAAGAACAAAGCATATTTTTGTGTAAAAAACAGTTTGTTTGTAAAAACCACATGTAAACCATGTAGCAGCAAACGTCTTTATTATTGTAATGCGAGTAATGTTCATATCATATATCTGAAGCCCTAGGAGATTGATAATACATATATCTGGTATCTAACAAGAGACTAACTGGCTTCTGAAATGCCCTAAAAGTTGACCAGAATGGGGAGGTTTTGAAGCAAAACCGTATCTTAACTGTCAATAGATAGCTACTTATGTAAGATGCAACGTTATCCATATACTCAACATATGTTGCAAACAACCTGTGTTATTAAATAGTGTCAAAAATGTTCGTATCATATAATCATAAAGTGAATGAGATAGACAATCTCATAGCACAGTAGCAATATTTAGTAAAATCAAACGGAAGGTAATTGGATACCCCTGTATGTCGAGTGGGGCTGTTGAAGGGCTGCACGATTTTACAATCCCCAATTAGGGACCAAATGGGGCGTTAGGCCGACGATTAGTGCATGTCAAGGCCTAAGTGACAGCACTGATACGTAATACATAGGCAGCGAAACAACATTTGGGTCGGCGTATGGTCGATTTATTGGAGAAAATTGGTCAATCAATCAGCAAGTACAAAATTTTATTTGGCTATACCGTCGATAAAATTGGCCAGTTAAAGCACAAATAGTGCTTTGTGTTTTCAAATGTGGTTTTGGTTTAGTCCAGAACAGAACCAGAATCAATTTTTTTCAATTTTCCTAAACTATGAGCTATCCTCTTCATACAGTTTGGATAATGATTTTCAAACAGCCGCCAAAAATAGAGTATCATCATAAACTTGATGTTGTTGAGTTTTTTTGAACGATTATGCCGCCGTGGAGAAGAATTTCTTCAACAAAATTCGCAAATATCAAAATATCTTCCATAATATATTTTTTCTAATAATTATATTCGCCATACAAAGCTAATCTGTTTGCAGTGGCTGAACATTGTCAATTGAGGATGAACCTTAAAATCACTTCAATTTTTGAGATTCAAATTAGCAAATTTGGCTAATTGCTTCTAACAATTGGTACATCTTTTAGATATCGCTATAACTGTGGTATCTTGGTATTATTTGCAGTAGCGGATCTATAACGACACAGAAATTCCAGAATTTCATTGAGAACGCAAATTTTCACTATGCTAAATGTTTAAATCCTTGAAAGTCGAGGTAACCAAAAGCGACGCTTCAGAATTTTTGATTTGTAAATGCATACATTTGTAAATGCACCAAATATAACACAAATTCCTATAAACAATCTTATAAAAAGTGGTGGTAGAAAACCAAGCCAATTTTTCAAAATCTAAACATTTTGCTCTTTACAAGCGAACAATAGGTACACATTGAGAGCCAAGTTAATGACGAATAAAAAAATATTTTGTAATATTCTGTCACGTTTGTGTTTTTTGGCTTGACTTTGTGTGGGTAATTCTAAGACTTTTTGAACTTTTACTCTTTCTTTGTTATTATTTGTGCCGTTTGCCCGTTGGCTTTTAAGCACGCTTCAAAATTAATTGCAATATCTACAATGTTTCAAAAATTTACATTTTAAATAAATAATTAACATTTTCTTCTATAAATCGAGAACGACTGGAGATTTAACGATGTGGTTTTACTTTCAACTTGTGTATGGATATGTCAAATTGAGAGCATCGTTCCATTTAACTATTGTCCAAAAATTTGTAATCGCAGCAGAAAACGCCGTCTAGTTGACTCCTTGCAAACAAAACGGTTTCATTAAAAATGGCGTTTAAAAGACATTAAAATGATCTTTCAAACAAGGCTAAAAATAGAGGAATCGGTTAAGTGTTTCAGGAGATATTAAAAAGTATGCAAGGGCCTCCCAGTCTTTTATTATGAAAAATGCAAAAAAATATCAAACAAATAAACCATATAATACCTTGGATAATACCATGCGGTATTACCCAAGCTCTCAAATGACGTTGTTAAAGTTGTAGTTCATCTCAAATTTAACATTCTAAAAAAACAAACCTCAGTACATTTTCCATTCATTTTTTATGCCAACTTTACTTATCAGGATTTTTTCCCAAGCCGTTAGTTCCTTTATCGGGACACCCTGTATATAATAACGTTGGGTATTAATAAAAAAATTGAAAAACGTCCCATAAACCATAGCCGCTAAATAATACCAATAACATTTTCAGATATATATTTAAAAGATATTTAAACCAGAAACAATTATATAAAAGTAGAAAATTTTGAAATAAATAAAGTCGATAAATAAAATCAAGTCAAGCGAAAAGCGCAAATTTTAATTAATTATAATTTATAATGTACAAAATGTCAAAAGCAGAGTTTACTTTAGCATACGGCTGGGTAACTCAGTCAATTTTTAACGCAGTGCTGCGTAAATGTGCAGGTGTTCCAACCCAACGCACCGGCGCAGTAACTCAGTTCCGTTGATAATCTTTTTTACTGGTTTGCAGACTTATGTTAACGGCCATTAATAATATTTCTCAAGTTTCTGCAAAATTTCAGAATTTTCAAGTTTTAACAGTTACTCTGTTTTCCAAGTGTTTTACGCGAAAAATTACAACGTAAATTTAAAGTTTTGTAGCAATTTGAAGCAAGGGAATTTTAGAAAACCCTTTTTAGCTTCGAATTTGGCGCAAAAGCCAAATAATTTTATGTCGTTTCTTACCGAAAGTAATTAGGATCATTTTGAGAAGAAAACGACCATTGCAAAAGTTTTCAAAAATTATTTAGAAAATTCGCCGCCCTCATTGCTCTGAAGACTTTTAAAGTTTCTTTAAAATTTCAGGTCTTCCCAGTTTTGGCAAAGTTTTTATTAAGCAATTAATTACGCAAAAAACGCATTATTTTTTAGTCTTACTTAAAGATACTGAGAATTTTCACCTATTTTCTGTAAAAAATTATAAAATAAATTTTATTGAAACACTCGCATCGGTAACAACCTTGTAAAAAAATGGCATTCTAATGTTTCTGGAATGAGCATAAAAGCTAAAAAACGAGATAACGGTGCCCATAAATAGACTCAAAATTAGATAAGTGAAAATTAAATACCAAACGAACAAAGCAAACACAACCCCTTGCATGTATGTAAACATGCATAATTCTTACTAGACATTACATTAATCCTAAGTACCACACTTTGAAAAACCCAAAACGTAAGAATCAGTTTTGTAAATAAATCAATAAATCAGCTTTGTAAATATTTCTAGTGCAAAAGAGGAAAAGCATTCGAACACAACTGCCACCTTGATCTTTGGACAGTAACATGATAAAAGCAGAAAAAAAACGTGTTTATTTGCTAATCATGGACATACCGTAGATGAATAGTAAACAGAATCTAAATATTACTATTTAAAATATAATATATTGCAATTAAAGTTAGAACTAACTGGAATGAATATAACCTTCAACCATCACTTTCATAAATAAGTAGGTCGAGTCCATTTTTAAGAATCTGCATAGTTAGATATTTAAGAGTTTAGCAGGTGCTGGTAATGTGATATAACTGAAGACAACAAGGTAACAACAAATTGAAATTTATTAATTGTAGACTACATTTTGTGCCCCTTCAAATATTACTGTATAATTCAATGTAAGACGTACTTTCTAATAAAGCACATATCTGAGTACCATATTACCATATCTGGTAATCCAAGTTGGTGGAAA